AAAAAAAAAAAAGACCGCGATCGGCGGCGGCAGTTCAGCGGCAGGTCCTTCGCTCCTAGAGGGAGTGAGGGACCTGCCGCCCCGAATTGCCGCTGGTGCCGTCCCTCTCCCTTGGCCGCCCCAAGCACCTGCTTGTTAAGCTGGTGCCTGGAGCCGGCCCTGCTTGTTCCTCGCGCAAATCACGGTAGATTTAGTCCATGGTTTGGTGTGGTTAGTTCCCCCCAGCCCTTCGTTATCCCCTGTCACCCCCACCCCATGGTGTTGACTCGTGGGGGTTCAGAGGAAAGCCACGGTAAAGGCACTGACTTCATATTCAAGTCCTAGAAATCATGAACCGCAGCCCAGGGTATCTCTGGAGAAGTACAGACCAGTGCAGTACCTCTGAAGTTGCCCCCTCTTGAATTCTCATTGGATCCTCCCCAGCTCCCTAAATCATTCCCGCTGCTATATCTATCAGCATGACTACAGCCTCGTTCACTAGTTCTCTCTGTATCTCATTGTCTCCACCACATCCTTGTACTTCTCTGTACAGATTTCTCTGTGCTCCTTCCTCTCGAGCTGGGTTGGCAGAGCCTCTCGCCTTTTTAACCTTTAGAAAGTCTCACGGTTTGTTATTATTTATCTCTTTTGCCTGGGGATCATCACAGACCCCACTGCCCACACACAGACACGCACACTTTTCTTGACATATTTGATTCTTTTATCTTTCTCTCTTTCTCACACACACACAAACACACAAAGTGGTTTCTTTTACTTGGCGGTGTGCCACCAGGAACTGCTGATTATTTCTAAAGGGCCACCACCATGCAGATCACTTTTTTAGCTTGAAGCTGAAGATCATGGAATGTCTGCTTGGATTCTGGCTTTGTTTCGCTCACAATCATCTCGCTTCCTGAAATTTCACCTGGTGAGTAAGTTTATTTCCCACGCATGCCGTTTTTAACAAATTTGACACTAATCTAGAGTAATGTTTAGGTCTCGCCATTTTAATGCTTTATCCTTTACTTTCCGAACTCGAAGAATTACCAAGCATCAGCCCTACTTGACCGCATCCATTAATGTTACTCACAGCCAGAGGCAGTAAGTTATAATCTGCACCACGATTACACTACATTCCGCTGCTTATTCATCACATTTTATTAATGTTTGCATCAGACAGTGTACCTGCTACATCCCTTGCTTCATTAACCCGTTCCTCAACCCCACACATATACACTGGCACTTGTAAGTATTTTGAAAGGACGCATTATTTCTATTCAATATACTGTAGGAGAATTGGTCATAGAATCGGTGTGTGTGTGTGTGTGTGTGTGTGTGTGTGTGTGTGTGTGTGTGAGAGAGAGAGAGAGAGAGAGAGAGAAGAGAGTAGTTCTATTACTCTTGCTGACTCCCACAGAAGAAGGCTGTTCGTAGGTTGGTTAGGTATTTTGTCTTTTA